TTCATATATCTTAGATCATATATACAAAATTTTATATTAATCCAAGATGATTTGATACTTCATTTTTATAAAATAAAATTAACGTAATATATTCATTTTTAAATATACTAAAATATAAACACTTTGATCATTTTTAAATTGTTATTCAATTTTATTACCCCTTCCCGATGTTGCTTCTTTTATCCATAAAGAAGGTACATCTAGAGCTGAATTTGTCAAAAACTTGCACGAGAGAGTTAGGAATCATATTCAATCCCAAACAGAAAAATATGCAAAATACAATAACAAGGGTAGAAAGGAAGTTGTCTTCAATGAAGGTGATGGGGTTTGGCTACACCTTAGGAAGGATAGGTTTCCTTCCAAAAGAAAGTCAAAACTTAGTCCTCCAGGAGATGGACCCTTTCAAATCCTCCGAAAAGTAAACAATAATGCCTATGTCTTAGATCTCCCCTCTGAATATGGGGTTAGTCCTAGTTTCAATGTCTCTGATTTATCTTTTTTTTTACAGGACTTGCTAACCAAGGGGAGGAAGCTTTGGATTTGAGGACAAATCTTCTTCAAGAGGGAGGCGATGATGGAGGAGGCCCATGGGCCAAGGGCCCAACTACTAGGGCTATGGCAAAGAGGATTCAAGAAGAGTGGGCCCATGCTCAACAAAAGCCCATCACACTTTTCAGTTGGGCTTTTGACTCAAGCCCAAGTAGAGTAAGAGTAGTGTAGGTTTAGGCCTTAGGGCTTGTATTGTATTTTGGGCCTTGTATTTCGGCCACTTAGACTAGGAATTTCATTTCATGGTCATTTGGATTTAGGGTTAATTTAGGTTAACATGTACATCTTCATTTGCATGTAATTAGTATGGCATTTGGAGTGTATTTCGGCCATGTGCACACATGCACATGGTGTGACCGAAATGCAACTCAAATGGATACTAAATCACATCCAAATGAGTGTACATGGAGGAGGTGACCGGTTAGCACCAAAAATTGAATTTTTGAATTCAAATTTTGGCGCCTAGAGTTAAGTAAACCATACCATGGTTTTACTTAACTCTAGGTTAACCCAACGTGCACCCTTGACCTAATTTTTCCCTATAAATCTCTCCTTGGCCGAGTTTGTAAACACTTTTGGAATAATTGAATGAGAATTCTTCATTTTGAACTCTCCTCTCCGAAAGTCTCCTTGAACCTCACTCTACCCTACTTGAGCTCCTCTCTTTGTAGAGTTAGGTTCCTTCATCATTTTCTATCCGAGATAGCTTGGTCAAGGCTTGGCTACACTTGTTCTTCTTGGAGCTTCTAGTCCTTGCATTCCTTCCAAGGATCCGAGAAGAGTTGAAGAGCTTTCCTTGAGGTTTCTTCAAGTAGGACCTCATCAAACTTGATGCCAAAAGTTATTGGATTAAGATGTGGTATCGAGTTCACTTATGTGGTTTGCTCACTAGCTATTGTTGGAGTTTTCCCCGGTGTTTTATACCCCCTCTAGGGCTACCAAAAGTAGTATCAAAGTCAATAATTTGACTAGATAACCAACTCGGATGAGTATTGGGCAATAGAATTGGTGATAGACCCAATTGTGAGATCCCTTGTGTTAAAAATCTTTTTGACAGTGTGAAAGACATGTTCCGTTGATGTGAACTAACAATACAAATATCTAGAGTTTATTAGTGGTGATGACTAAACTCTAAGAGCTACCATTGAATACTCATAGACAAGGTTGTCAATCTCGAGAGTTTACGTAATCTCGTGGAGGCTCCGTAAACTCGTAAGAGATTACTCAATAAAAAAAATATATATATATAATTAAAAATAACATAATAATTGAACATTCTAACTCCATATTAAAGAGTAAAATAGAAAATTACATTAATAATAAAATGCTAAAGTTCTTAACAAAAGTTCACACATGACAAAACACAAGGGAGGAGAACGGTGGTTCGCGCCCGGAGTGGTTCGCGCACAAAGAACAGTTGTGCGCGCACGGAGAAGAGTGGTTCGCGAAGGAGAATGGTGGCTTGTGCACGGAGAAGAGTCGTTCGCGGAGGAGAACGCACACGCAGCGGTTTGCCTTTGTCGTGGACTCGTGGAGAAGACAGCGAAGCCGCACGCGGAGGAGAAGCACGGAGAACAGTGGTCGTTCATGAGTGAAATGAGAGTTACGAGTGCCCTAACCCAAAACGAGCATTTTGTGTAATTGGAAAACAAAAAAAAAGTGATCTCTTAAACTTGGGACTGATCTTGTGATATTACACGAGATTACCCGAGATCACCGAGATTACTCAAAAACGAGTTTACTCACGAGTTATACAGGTAAGCTGTCCTAATCTGTACGAGTTTACGAGTTATGACTAGAGATTGACAACCATGCTCATAGATGGAAAAACAATTTCCACTTGAAGAAGAGCATACCATGTAAAAGAGACTCACACTTGAAGGGGAGCATTGGAGTTAAGTGTGAATGAGAGTCCCACATCGGATACGATTGAATATGTTGATTAGTATATAAATAAGAGAAACCTATTGACATGATGCCTTATGGTGTGTTTGAATGAGGAATTTATATAGAGTAATTCATTTATTTGAAGAATTTCAAATTTCTTGAGGTGAAATACTTTGTTTGGATGATGAATTTACAAAGAATTTAAAATTCAAGTATTTGTGAAATTCCTTAAAATAGTAGAATTTCAAATTCTCCCAAAAATGGGAGAATTTGAAATTCCTCATTTCTTTTTCTTATTTCACCTATATATTTTATCTTATCTCTTCATTCTTTTAATTATTGGATATTCAAAAATATTTTTAAAATTATTAAATATTATCTTATATTAATTTTTAAAATTATTAAATATGATCTAATATTAATTTTTAAAATTATTAAATATTTAAAAATGGATTAATATTTATTTTTATAAAATTTAATTTAAAAATCTCAACATATAAATATATTTTTAAAATCAATTTTACTATGATGGAATCAAATTATCATATTCAACCTAACAATTTAAAATTTAAGAAATTTGAATTGACTCATCTAAACAAAATATTTTAAGAATGATAAAAATTGAAATCAAAGTAATTCAAATACTAAGAATTTAAAATTTCTTGAATTTATAAAATTCTTCATCCAAACACACTATTAAGGTTTTGGATTAAGATGTGATGTTGAGTTCATTTGTGTCATTTGCTCATTACTTATCAATGAAGTTTTTTCCGGTGTTTTATAAACCCCTTGTGGTGTTACCAACAAAAAGTTCTAACTAATGGTATAATGTAAAGCTTTTGATTGTAATTCTGATTTTGCTTACAAAAGCATGTTATGTTTTATCAACTCACTTAGTTACAGCATATGCGGGAGCTTTTTGCTTGTCCTAATAATAGATAACAAAAACTACACCAAGACAAAAATAATTATTGTAATCGGATATGTACATCAAGATCAAGACTGGATAACTAAAACGCAATAAGGATGACAAAAAACAATTATTTGCATGAACAGATTAAAAATGTATCTTAACCAAAGACTTGCACCTACATTATTCAAAGAAATTATGTGCTCATCTATATGCATTACTGTGCCAGTTTTGATTAATATATCTTAACTTCTCGAATATAATCTGACTTTTCAATCCATGAACAAGACAGTTAACTTTCCATGATTTGATACTGCAAAACCCTGACAAGAACCCACATTAACTCAAATCCATAGAATCAGACATTAGAACATAGTCTAGTTAGAGATGGATTCTGAAAGAGTAACTTCATTTTTATTAGACCAAAGGCATGTTTAAGTTAATCTTAGGGATAGCTAAATCATTGGCTGCAAAAGTTTAAGATATTTCTAAAGTAGAAGGATAACATCTATTATTTATCTGGCTGGGGGACAGGCAATCATTTCTGTCACCAAAGTTTTATTTTATTTTATTTTTTATCCATAGACATAATCCACACAGTGTTACTAAAGCTTGTTTGTGACAGTATTTTGGTGCCATGTAAATTAATCTCAAGATTTTGGTAGATCTGCATTTGAAAAGCAAACAATAATTTCCGAACATGGAAAGGTAGACACAAAGCTTATCACCACAAGTTAGTTCTGCTAAGCATGTCTCAAATAGTAAAGCATAGTAACAAATCTTGATTTTACACTCATACGAAATATGCATAAAAAAACTGGAAACAGAGGAAAAACAAGATAATTCTAAATTTTTATATTGAAGTAATAGACATGGTCAATACTCAATACATACTATCTTGCACTGAAAACTGGTTCTGTGTCAGGTGATGGTTGTGTCCTTCGAGTGTATTTGAGAAGCAAACCTTCTGAAGAAAGACCTGGTACATTCAGATCTCTGAAACATTCCAAAAGGGGTTAATTCAAAAGTAGAAAAATATGATACATTTTAAGGTAAGAAGAATTATGAGATGTCCACCTGATATAGGGCTGCAGATCTTTCCATTCCCATTTTGGCCTCTCTCTGAAAAGAATGGAGAAACGCTCAGCTGGAGTGGAAGGCAACGAAGCGACACTGAAGGCGCGAACCCATGTCTCAACTCCAATTCTCTCTGTTAATACCTCTCCTTCCACAAGATCAAAAGTGGGCTGCATTCCCTCTGGAATCTTCTGCCTCCATTCATCCATGAAACTCTCTAATTTCTTCTTGCCCCCTTTCAGGATTTCTCTTGCAAAATGTACGCATACTCGCTTCTCATCCAACTTCCAGACACCACTATGCCTGCACTCATTTACTTGCTTGCCAAATACATGCAAACAATGCCTTGCAAGCACCCCAGGAAATCCATCTGATTCCAGTGTGTTCACAACTTCATCTTCATTTAAAGCATCAAGTGACCAGTCATTCAACACTGAATTTTTCAACAGCATTCCCAGAATCATGTCCATGTAATTCCCGTCTACTACTCTCCAATACCCATTAATCTCCAGCGCTGAAAGAGCCTGCAGTCCAGACCTTAATTCCTCATCACTAGCTTGAATATTTTCTATTAGATCATTCCAAGTATATAACCCTATTCTAGATTCCCGATTCTCTTCTAAATTTCCCACGTCATACTCCTCAAAATTATAAGGCTTTTCTGACAGAAGTGATTTAAGTTTATCAAGTCTAGGGGCTGCTTCAATAAGCTCCATACTACCAGATACAATTTTGATTATCGGTGCAATGACTTTCTCTTCATCATTATTAGTATCATTCTTTTGTGGATTTTCATGAAACTCTGAATGATTCGCTGGTGGTACAAGCAGAACAGAATTAGAAGTTCCAACAAACTTCATCGCATATGTTTTGGATTGAGTACAAAGAACTGCATCTTCATCAGGCTGTCCTCTCAGAACCACCCTGGAATAGAATAGAAATCATGTTACAGTTTAAACTAAAAATTGGGGAAGCTGAGGACAGGGACAGAGTTACAAGCAACTCTTTGTCGGTCAATGCATACCTTTCATGCAGAACATCAGGGAGAAGCTTCTCATCAAGCTCTAGAAGGAGAAGGTCATCATGAGGTCCAAAAAGTGGGTGATATGCAACAGAAATTGATGATCCAGGAGATATCTGTTTAAGTGCTTCTGCCCCTCTTGAACCTGGATGCGGTGATTCCATTCCCCCCTCTCACTAGGTACGAAGCAACCGTTAAAAAAAAAAACTTCATGATTTCTTCACATACGATACTATGCCATAATTTAGGGAAAGGAAAACCACAAGTTCACATCTACATGTGTTTAGATAAACTTCTCTAAAAGTACTTATAGGAGAAGAGAACAAGAAAGAAAATCAAGATAAGTTTTTTCATTAGCTAAAACTAACTTATGCATAAGTTAAAAATAAAATTTTGGAAAAACTAATAAGTTAGCTCACGTATAAGCTAAATTTAGCTTACAAAAAAACTTATTTCATTTTCCTTCCTATTTTTGTCTCCTAAAAGTGCTTCTAGAAAAAACTTTACCCAAACAGGCCTATAATACAAATGCTTGGTTCCTCCATTACTAGATGCTTCTAGCAATTTGTTACCAAACATTGCATACAAAAGTTTATTCTTTCAATGTCTCTATAAATACTATCATTGATTTTATTATTTAAACCATTTATCTTGGCTTTAGCAATTGAAGTTTATCAGAAGAAAACCACCAGAAGCTTTAATGAGAAAAATGAAACAAATGTGATTAAAAGTGGTAAAGAAAGACAGAAGAAACATTTATCAAAACCCTTCTCTTTCTCCACTTCATCAACAAACTCCTTTTCTTTTTCTGTGCTAAAACCTGAATCTCCCAACTCCCAAAACCAAACGAATTACATTACTGGGCTATTCCTTCAATTACCCTAATCCGTGCCAGTTTATTAGTAAAATTTCACAATTACTCGGTGGCATAGCATAACAACAATGAAGCAACATGCAGTAAGTGACATTAATATTTTTAATTTATCCACTTAGCTGTGTATCCAGAACTCGAATTGAACAAAGATGTGTGTTGTTGGAGGAAACAGGAACAAACCTGAGATGAAGGCAAATCAGCTTAAGGGAAGTATTAATGGTAAATATGGAACGCGATTCGTTCTTTGGTTTCTTCCTCGCCTTGGTCGCGCCGCGTCAAATTCGAATGTGACCTACGCTAAAGGTGGAGTGGAGAACAGGATTACTCTTCGCGCCCAAAAATGGACTCTAATTTTAAGAATGTTTAATTATAAATGTGACAATAAAGAGAAAGAAATGAAGACAAGAGAAAAAAAATATATTATAGAGAAATAAAGTACAAATAAAAATAGACGAAAGAGATGAAAAGAAGAGAAATGAAAAGAAGTATAGAAAAATAAATTAGAAATAAATATTGTTTGATAAGAGAAAAAAAATAAAGTGGGAGTCCATTATTTTATAGATTATTTTTTTAAAAAGATAAATATATATTATTTTCTAAATAAATAAACATATTTTTATATAAATAATTTTATTTAAATATAATAAATATTTTTATTATATTTTATTTATTATAGTTATGTTATTTTTAATTTTAAAAACAAATATTTTATAATAAAAACAT